CTTCCTTCCTTCCTTCCTTCCTTCCTTCCTTCCTTCCTCTCTCTTTCCCTTCCAGCCGAAACCCATTTCCCATCACACTACAGTAGACCTACTGATGGCTTCAACAGTAAACCAACTGTAATGAGAATCCCATTGTTTCACTGGGTCTACCCTAGATGGACTAGAAATTCAATTTATGTCTCCTCAGATATTTCTTCCCCCCTCTCTTTTAAAGGTCAAATATTTTTATCACCACATAAATCACAAAGAAAGGAATGTGTGTACTTTTTTTTCCAGGGTGAGGTAGATATTAGTCATTTGTTTTTCCCCAAGCTGTTTGTGCAATATTAATTAAACTAAGGGAAGGAAATACCCTTTGTTGACTAGTCTCCTGGGGCAACAGCAGGCAGTCACTTGTTGCTTTATGTGCCCATAATCACAATCTCTGTGAGAAATGCAAACATCAAATGAAGGAAAGTGGATATAGATGTAAGATGTAGTATTCTGGGGAAAATAGTTTCCAAATGCTGATTTAATTAAACAGAAACCCACCACACGGGGTAAGCAAAAATGAAAAGACATTGGCAAGTTAGGGTAAAATGGAGATAAGTAAGAGGTATGACTTTGAAATGAGCTCAGGCTATTAAAACAAAAAATCAAATGGATGATTATTTCTTCCAGCACTAAGGCAACCAAGGGTCGTGCTTTACCAAATGACCTTTATTCTAGCATCCTCATTTGTGTATAATGTGTGGGTGAATTTATGAAACATAGTATTTAGAAATTTTGAAATTTGAATTTTAAAAAAATCTGGGGTCTCTCCTTTCTCTGAAGATGCCAGCCACAGATGCAGACAAAAAGTCAGGAATACATTCTTTTAGAACACGGCCTCACAGCCCAAAAAACCCATAAAAACCTATGGATGCTGGCTGTGAAAGCCTTCGACTTTGCCTTTGACAAGGTTCCCCATGACATTCTGGCAAACAAGCTACCGGTAGTAAAATGCAGACTAGACAAGGTAACTGTTACATGGATTTGTAATTGGTTGACTGGCCAAACCCAAAGGGTGCTCAACAATGGCTCCTTTTCATCCTGGAAAGAAGTGACCAGTGGGGTGCCACAGGGCTTTGTCCTGGGCCCATTGCTATTCAATATCTTTATTAATGACTTGGATGACAGTATTGTTATCAAATTTGCAGACGACACCAAATTAGGAGGAGTAGCTAATACCCAGAGGACAGGATGAAAATTCAAAATGATTTTAATAGATTAGAAAGCTGGGCCAAAATGAATTTCAACACAGAGAAAAGTAAGGTACTGCACTTAGGGCAAAAAATAAAAATAAAAAAATGAAATGCATAGATATAAGATGGGGGACACCTGGCTTAATGAGACTACATGAGAAAGGGATCTAGAAGTCCTAGTGGATCACAAGTTGAACATGAGTCAACAGTGTGATGCTGCAGCTAAAAAGGCCAATGCAATTTTAGGCTGCATCAGTAGAAGTATAGTGTCTAGATCAAGGGAAGTAATAGTGCCACTAAAATAGTGAAGGGTCTGGAAACCATGCCCTATGAGGAATGACTTAGGGAACTGGGTATGTTTAGCCCAAAGAAGAGATGGTTAAAAGGGGATATGATATCCCTTTTTAAATATTTGAAGGGATGTCATATTGAGGAGGGAGCTAGCTTGGTTTCTGCTGCTCCAGAGAACAGGACCAGAAATAATGGATGCAAGCTATAGGAAAAGAGATTCCACCTCAACATTAGGAAGAACTTCTTGACAGTAAGGGCTGTTTGGAACACACTCCCTCGGAGTGTGATGGACTCTCCTTCCTTGGAGGTCTTTAAACAGAGGCTGGATGGCCATTAGTCTGGGATGCTTTGATTTTGAGTTCCTGCATGGCAGGGGGTGGACTGGATGGCCCTTGTGGTCTCTTCCAACTCTGTAACTCTATGACTGTATGTTTTTTCTTACGTTGTTGTTGTTGTTGTTGCTGCTGTGTGTCTCCAAGTTGTTTCTGACTTATGGCAACCCATGGGGGTTTCATGGCAAGATGTATTCAGAGGAGGTTTGCCATTACTTTCCCCTGAGGCTGAGAGCATGTGACTTGCCCAAGTTCACCCAGTGGATTTTGTGACTGAGTGGGGAATCAAAACCTGGTCTCCAGAGTTGCAGTCTAAGACTCAAACCACTATGCCATGCTGTCTCCCTCCATTTTCTTATACTAAATCAATTTTATGGGGTAATCTAGACTTGGAAACTGGTCAGAAGACTTTTATGTGTAAATTTGAGCTGATAAAACATTTTTTTTTACTCTGAATTAATGGATTGGTTCTGACAATGAATCTCTGCCATGCAGCGATTTGAAGGTGAGATACATATGATCTTCCAGATTCTGCTGAATGGCAGTACTTTCAATTACAGCATATATAATGGAATGGATGGCTCTGAAGCACTGTGTCTTTGAGTCACCTATATTTTTGGAAGCATTCAATGTGCCAAAAAAAGAAAAAAAGAAAAATTGCTATTATTTGTTCATGAATATTTATTGTTGGTCAATAAATACATTACTCTGAGTTTTAGGAATGAATGAAATGATGAATTAGATAGCCCAGTTAGTATATCTCAACTCTGGCCTCCAAACCTGTTATGTTTATGGACTTTAAATTCTGTAGTATAGCAACACCTCATTTTTCGTGTACTCAGGGCTCCACAACATTTATTTAGCAAGAAATTGAGTACATCTTCTAAGTGCTGGTACTGTATTTCTCCTTATGAATCTCTTAAACGTATGCCCAGTGGTTACTTTCCTTAGGGGGGGAAAGGTTATCAATTGAAGTACTTTTGTTTTACAGCAACCTTTGAATTTATGTAGACTTAACAAGCGCTCTATTTGGCCACATCTTGAAAATTAATTCTGGTCAGTGAAAATGGATTCTCTGTGCCCTTTCACTGGCTAAAAGATTTTGTAGCACTGGAAAGACAAACATCCACGCAAAATGGATTACCTAATGGATACAGGACCTCATAACCCTTTCAGCTTTTGAACATTTAGTATATAGACATCAGTTTTGATTGTAGACATGTCTGGATATATGGTCATTTTTCCCCCTAGAAGTTCATGCCTGAAACAGTTTCTCTGAAGTATTTTCAATTATTTGCCCTTTTATCCTTTAACAAGTTCCATTTCACCTTTTAAAAAGTGTTTTTCTTCATCTTATTACAGTGGGCCCTTGGTCTCTGGAGCTGGGAAGAGGAGAGAGAAATGGGGATGATTCAAAGCAGCTGAAAAAGTGGTATGACAGAGAATTAATCATGCCTGCCCCTGCTAAGTTAGGACAGTAGGAGGGGATGGCAATGCAGGAAAACAGAGAGGGGACCCAGTCTACTCTTCCATGTAAGAGAATTCCACAGCTGGGAGCAGCCACCAAGAACACCCTCTTCCTTGTCATCACAGATGGAAACATGGTGGTGGTGGGCATAAAAATATCTTTATTGCAAAATAATATAACATATGCTAATACAGCTTGCATGTGTGTAATGAATAATGTTTACCTGTCTCACAAAAAAACACCAACCACCCTACCACTAGTCATTATTTTAAACAGGTTTAGTCTATATGCAATTTATAGGAGATTGTTCAAATATTAGGGAATTTTTAAAGGTTTTTTAAAAATGATTTCTAGCCCACAAAAGAGAACTGAAAAGCAATTAAGAACATCAGCAACACAAAACGAGCAACTCAGTAAGTTACAGGTTGTTTTTTTGTTTTTTTTAAAGTAATCAGCAATGGCAATGGGTTACTTTTTCAAAGGAAACAAGTTACCTTTGAAATGGTAACTATTCTTTAACTGCTTAACTTACCAAGCTTGGAATGGAAATTCCTGCCGCAGGGGGATACCCCATTTCACTTCTTGTTGCCATTCCCTTGGGTGCAGTTGCCAACCTCTCCACTTAGAAAAGTTGAATAAAACACACCAGGCTTACAGAGTCATCCCCTTACACTGCATGGGTCCCTCAGAAGAGGAGAGAAGATTGCTCCAATTTCTTCTGATCATAAAAGCTTTCTGCAAAATGAGAAGCAAGGGAAAAGAGAGGGGGGGACTGACATCCTTCTGAAATAGTCGCCATGTGAGATTTTATTCTGTGGAAAGTAATCAGGCCCAGAAAAGAAGAGACCATTCACCAAGTTGCCTTATTTCATAAGCCATCTCATCCTCACCATTGTTCACATTTCCAGCAACAATGTGGCAGTGTCCAGAATCATGCTGGATGGAGAATGGGAGGGTCCTGTAAAACCATCTGCTCTGACAAGCAGCTATACATTACAAGTCACATTTTCAGATGTAGGACTATGGCCAGCTGTCAGAACTATGCCTGTGTGCATATGTTC